ATGATGATACATGATGATGATACGTGATGATGATACGTGATGATGATACATGATGATGATAATTGGTGATGATACATGATGATGTTACATGATGTTACATGATGATACATGAGGATTATACATGATGATTATACATGATAGTAAAGATAATGATGAGGCGTGATCATGATCATGGAATATGTCATAACCAGGAAATACAGACAGGAATAACATATCATTTATCCGCTACAATACTAGATACTCTACAAACAAACCTTTTTTGAAATTTTTTGATTATTTTAGCATTTCTATCAAAAGCAATAATTCACATTGAACTCATTARTGACACTTTTAAGAAGTTATAATGCTAATATAATTTATATATTCCAGGCAAGGTTAAGCCTGCTGACAACGTCAACGAGTGTAGCAGTAATCCATGTCTTAATGGCGGCGTGTGTATAAACCGATACTCAAGCTATATGTGTCTGTGTAAACAGGGATTCACTGGACATCGATGCGACAAAGGTAAGGGAAAGGAAAATACGGCAGTAGAGAAGAATAGGAATGGTTGTCAATCAAGAGAATATGAAGTATTTTCCCGTTGTCAATCCTATGCAACATAATAAGGGATGATATAGTTTTCCTCTTGAAAAGAGCGCTTCAGTTATTTAGGGCTTAAAGTGCAGTTACATTAACAACCGATTTCATTTGGTTTTGAAGTCTTAATTTTATAACCTTTGAAATGGACTCTAGAAAAGATCTGTAAATGTTATTACTTGGTCAAAGTTTGTGCTACTAAACGACTACAAATCCATTAATTCCTTAGTAAGACTTTTATTTGAAGTCCAATGTTTTAGCATTTTTTGTTTTTTTGGAGGACAAACGTTGAAAAGGAAACGCGTTGTCAAGTAAACGTGTTACTAGGGACACATGTTTTACCGAGGAAACCTGTTACCAGTGACACGCGTGTTGCCAAGGATACACGTGTTGCCAAGGATACACGTGTTGCCAAGAAAATCTGCTACCAGTGACGCACGTGTTGCAAAGGAAACCTGCAACCAAGGGCATACGTGTTGTCAAAGAAACATTTTACCAGTGACACGCGTGTTGCCGAGGAAACTTGTTACCAAGGATAAACGTGTTGCCAAGCAAAAACATGTTATCAGTGACGCACGTGTTGCCAAGGATACCTTACTGATTATCCACAATGATCTATGTTTTCAGCCATTCCCTGTGGTACTCTCGAGTCCCCAATCTATGGAGTAATGCACTCTTCTGGCAGCACTCATGGTAGTACAGCTACATTCACTTGTCGTGCGGGATACAGTATCAAAGGCACGGGAACAAGGTCTTGTCAAAGTGGACAGTGGACTGGTACACAACCAACCTGTGAAGGTAATATTAAAGTGATTTGTATAACAGTAGGATCGTCCCATAAAAAAAGGAATAAGAATTAAGAAGGATTTAACTTTTATTTTTATTTTTATTTTTATGGGATTGAAGAGTGGTGTAGCGTTAATGCACTCTTCTCTCTCCTCTGGTTTGGTTCTTGGACTCGGCATACATGTGAGCAGAGTTTGTTAGACTCTCTATCTTTAATGTTCTCCTATACTGGGCTCTCCGACATTCTTCCCTCCGCAAGATCCAAGCTAAATTCCAATCTGACAGTTAACCCTTTTAATCCGTGTGACTTCTGACCCGTGCCTCGACTTTGATCAGCCTAGAGTTTCAGGTCACAGATATGGAGGTTTTTAAGTCTCGATTGCTGAACTGCGCTAACATTAAGATATTTTATTTGAATATTACATTTTGTCACCACTTTCCTCCCAGTATTATTCCTTTCTCTACTGCAATTTTGACCACCCAATTTTTATCAATGAAAGAAACACTAACGGAGCCAAAATGAAATCATCTACAAAGCTATGGGCCAGAACTTTTGGCTTTACTCTTTTTTAAAGTGACTTGAATTAAGAACGAAATCTGTACCGAGTAGTTCTGTTTTAGATGATGCTTTTCCTTTTTATCTAAGACATCGATGAGTGCCTTACAGGAGGCCATGGGTGTAACCAGGTCTGTATAAACACACCAGGAAGCTACACATGCGCATGCGCACCAGGCTACCAACACACGAGCGCAACTCAGTGCAGCGGTAAGTGAATAACTCTTACCACGAATGACGTCACAGTTGTGCATCATGGGATTGAAATGCGGACAAGCTGAGCCAATTAAACATAATATGTCGTAGTAATGTTTTGTAGTATCATTGTTTCCATCTCATGAAAGAAATATGGTCTCATGACTGATATTTTTCTTCTTTTCATTGTGATCGAAGCCTTTATTTGCAATGTTTGTCCGTATTTAATCCCAAAAGGCTCAGTTTGCAATATCTTTTTTTAGTAATCGTGAATAATGCTACTGACGACGCTTAAAACTCCAGTGTATGCGGTCTTAACCTCACTTCTGAGGTCGGTAAACAGAAGCAGAAATCAGAATAACAAAACAAGCAACTGTTGGATTCGAGGGTTAGCCCGCATACAAGTTATAAGAGTCTTCAATTTAAGATCTTTGGATAGCAAAACTCTTAAAATACATGTATATGAATCAGCCAAGAATGATTGTAAAGTAACTTAGCCCTAATGCGTACTTGAAATGCCAATTTGGATGAGAATATCGAAATTGCGCACATTTTTTTTTTTTTCGGCCGTGCGCTCTGAATGTGTTCTTTCAAACAAGAAATAAAAAAAGTATTATATTTGAGCGCTTTTTTTTATTTTTAAGAGATATGTAATAAGATATCATAAATGATCTAAACGCTTGAGAAGCTTCGCGTTGTGGTTTCCTACTATCCAGATTCAAGATGATAATATATCTGACTAGTAAATAGTAGCAAAGGACTGCATTGATACATTTCCCTATTTTAAAAAATTTGCTAATCTGTGTTTTAGATATTAAGGAGTGTAGTATGAATAACGGCGGCTGTAGCCACTTCTGTCACGAGAGACCAGGTGGCGTCACGTGTTCCTGTCCTTATGGCATGAAACTTCTCTCTGGAGGACGTACATGTTCTGGTAGGTAGTCAAATACTGAGCAATTCACTTCTACCGAGCGTGAGGCTCAACCCTGCATGTTAATAAGAGTTTACCACACGGCACGGTTCCTGACATTGACTGAGCCAGTTGTATGAGTTGTATGCGCGAATTTCAACTTCAGGTAGTGACGACAGTCTACCAAAAGTCTACCACAGGGCACGGTACCGAACAATGGTTGAACCAGTTACATGATTCAATTCTATCGAGCGTGCAAGTTTCATCTTGGGGTGGTGACACTCAATCCTGCATGTGTATAAACATCTACCACACGGGCACGTTATCGGACATTGGTTAAGCCAGTTATATGATTCTGTTCTATCAAGCACGCAAATTTCACTTTTAAATAGTGGGGCTCAATCGTCGTAAAAGACCCAGCACGCTGCACTAGCGCGTTTAACGGTGAAGCCAGTTACAAACAGCGCGTAATGTTATTGTTTGCCCAATCACGATGATTGGTGATGAATAGCGGAAACACCGAAATCAACTTCTAAATTCTAATTGGGATTTAAAGAAAGAAGAGCTTCTCTTTAGAAATGTCACTGTTAAATCCCACGCATTTTCATTTCATTCTCTTATTTATTTATTTATGATGTGACTGCTCTTCATTTCATAGATATCGATGAATGCTCTCGCGGTAATGGTGGCTGTGAGCACACTTGCTTCAACACATTCCGTTCCTTCAAGTGCTTGTGTAACAGAGGCTATAGACTGAATTCCAATCAAAGGAACTGTGATGGTAATTACTTACTGCTGTGTACATCGTACTGATATCATTATGTGTTTATTATCCATCTACACTCAGTAGAGTACAAGTATTACATTACCGGGCTCGAAAAAATGCTGCAAACTCAAAAAATAGATATACCAGTACTGCACCCTAAAATGCCTAATAAAATATTTTTGTTGAATTATAATATTTCATTTCATTTTCTCGTGAAATAAAAGTGGATTTTGATTCTCATGGCGCCCATTTTCATTTTTGTTTCTTTGAACGGTTTCCTAAATTGGAAATTTTCAAATCTTTATAAGCATCTTTTCATTTTTTAGCGCGCACGATGTAAAATTATAATTCAAATCTAGTTAACTGCAATGGTTAACCCACAAAAATCAATCGATATTTTGCCTGCCAAAGCGCGCGTCGCAACGTATATTTTTATTTCCTTCAGAATGGCGCCGAAAAAAAGAAGTGATGGAAAGTAATCGAATATAAACTCATACGTCAATAGCATTAACCATCTTTCTTCATTTACTTTTTTCCCTAGGACTTTCTTGTCCAGCTCTAATCCCTGTTGCGGACAGCACGAAACAAGGAAACAGTAACTTGGTTGGGACTGCTGTCAGATACACGTGTAATACGGGCTTCAGGATTATTGGTTCATCGAAAAGGGAATGTCGGGCTGACTTACAATGGTCTGGTGTACAGCCACGCTGTGAACGTAAGTCTGACTCAAGTCTAATTGATTACATGAGGTTATGTGCAACATGCATATCTGTTCTTTTCCTTTTTTGCCTTACATGGCAAACATATTTAAATATTCCTCTTATCGCATGTATATGTTTACAATATCCTTTTTTTATCTTCTTTTTCTTTTTACGTCGCGATACGGGGAGTCGTTGCCGAGTCCCCCAGCCAAAGATTGATGTTTAGTATAAAATAACTATTATAAATCTCGCGTTCTGATTGGTTGGGAGCACAGGCTTTATGAGAGCAGTTGCGTCATTCCTATCCAAAATAACGGTCATTGTAAATTGTATTTTGTAAAAGAAATAAAAAACTTGCTTGCCATGCTGTGTGGAGTTATAAAGCACTTAATGGGGGATTGACAGAACACTCGAAAAGTATCAAGAAGCACTTCACTATCCGTCGCGTTTCTCCTAACACTTCTCCTGTGTTCTACCAAACCCGGCGTGATTTATCACTGTACACGTCACGCGCGCGCGTTTTCTATTACGAAAGCCTGGGATCATTTTTTTCACTGCGCTTTGCAACCAGTGTTACTACAAAGTACTAAAAAAAATCCCTTTTGTTTCTATTTCAGGTTTATACTGCAGAGAAGTCGGCACGGTAAAGAATGCCGTTCGATCGCTTGTCAATTATTACAACAATCGTCCAGTGGTGGGCAGTATTGCACGCTTCGCTTGTAACCTACATCACGTGATGCAAGGTTCTCCTGATAGGGTTTGTCAGGCTGATGGGTCATGGAGTGGAAAATTACCAAGATGTATACGTGAGTAGAGCACTTGTTTATGTAGAAACGGTTGAATGAGGAATGGGTTGATGGATAGATGAATAGATGAATTAGTGGATAATAGGATTGGCGAATGGATGAATGTGTGAGTGGAGAGAGGGAAGGAGGGATGGATGTATTGGGATAAAAAAGAATGGGATTGATATACAAGGGGGGGGGGCAAAATAAAGGAAGGAAGAACGGAAGGAAGGAAGAAAGGAATGAACATAAAGGGATTATATATAAAGAAAAGTTGTTGTGCAAAAAAATAGACAAGCTTATTAAGTAAAATATGTTATCAATCATCTGAAAACACTTTCAATCCCCAGCGGCGTCCTGTTCCAAGTTGAACCCTCCGTCACGTGGAACAGTCCAAGGATACCGTTTTGAGTTGGGTGCAACCTTGCGCATTACATGTGATAAAGGATACCAATTAAAGCCAGCTTCATCATCGTTCCGAACATGTGTCAAGACACCTTCTGGTGGAGGCACGTGGTCTGGCCAAGATCCTGTGTGCGAAAGTAAGTATTGATTAATAAGATTTTGATTTAATTTGATCTGACACTGAAAGCGGACGAATATTGTAACCTAACATCAGGGGCGGATCCATGCAGGGGTAGTAAATGAGGTGACTAGTCMCCCCCCCCCCCCCCATCCTTTTTGCTCAAATTTCTCAGTATATCGTTAGTAACGTTAACAGTCACGGGCTCCTTCTCCTCGAATTCCTAGTAGAACCTTTTTAATTGTCACCCCCCCCCCCCTAAAATTCCTGAATCTGCCCCTGAACATAAGCCTAATTCAATCTAATCCCTATAATCTTACTCTGATAACTTTCAAACGATAACTGGTATCAATATATATATATATTCTTTTTTAAGTTTAACAGGGCTTTGTTAACTTTCTAGGAAAGTTTTATATTCAATAAAAAAATCAAATCAAGTTTGAATTTGAAATTTCTCTTTCTTAACTCCGTACAAATTAAAATATATTGTGGATCCCAAAATCAAAGCTTTTACCATCAAGGGCGTCTAGTGTCTCAAATCTTTAGCTCATGTTTTGATAATGGGATTTAAACCACATGTTTCATTTTATTTATCAATAATATATATGTAGCAAATGCAGCATCGCGTGTTTTTCCGGTACTAACATATAAACTTGTTTCTAGTTGTTGACTGTGGTAATGTTAAGCCGCCATACGGAGGGTATCGCACTCTCCCAGGAGGAACCAAATACCAAGCGGTCGTTACTTACACCTGTAAACCCCAGCATCATCTTCAAGGCAAACCATCACGTGTGTGTCAAGCTGATGGTACATGGAGTGGAAGCCAGCCAGTATGCTTAGGTAACTAGCAGATCGAGGTCCCTTTTCTATAGTCTATACTCTCTCGAACATGGAATGGCGTCAGCATATGATCCAAACTCAAGTGGAACCATAAGCGCAAGTGGTTTCACTGCAAAGCGTGAAACCACTCGCTGTGTGTGGACACATCAAGTATAAATACACACACTAGCAGTTACTACATACAAGAAGACAGCCAGAAGGAAAAACTACAAACAGACAGACTACAGACAGACAGACTAAAGACATACAGACTACAGACAGACTACAGATTACAGAAAGACAGACTACAGACAGACTACAGACAGACTACAGACAGACTACAGACTAGACAGACAGACAGACTACAGAAAGACTGACTACAGACAGACTACAGACAGACAGACTACGGACAGACTACAGACTACTGACAGACAGACTACAGACAGACTACAGACCACAGACAGACAGACTACAGACAGACTACAGACAGACAGACTACGGACAGACTACAGACTACGGACAGACAGACTACAGACAGACTACAGACTACAGACAGACAGACTACAGACAGACTACAGAAAGACAGACTACAGACAGACAGACTACAGACAGACTACAGTAAGACAGACTACAGACAGACAGACTACAGACAGACAGACTACAGTAAGACAGACTACAGACAGACTACAGACAGACAGACTACAGTAAGACAGACTACAGACAGACAGACTNAGACTACAGTAAGACAGACTACAGACAGACTACAGACAGACAGACTACAGTAAGACAGACTACAGACAGACAGACTACAGTAAGACAGACTACAGTAAGATAGACTACAGACAGACTACAGACAGACAGACTACAGTAAGACAGACTACAGACAGACAGACTACAGACAGACAGACAGACTACAGTAAGACAGACTACAGACAGACAGACTACAGACAGATAGATGGATGTACGATAGCCTTATGAAATCTGGTACTATCCATTATAAATGGATATTTGTTATCATTTTTGATTATTTTAGAAAGATCATGTGGATATCTGGACCCCCCTGTCAACGGGGAGAAGATTGGTGAAGAACACCAGTACGGTCAATCGGTCATGTTCAAATGCAACACCGGCTACAACCTGATTGGTTCTTCTAATGTGACCTGCCAGACTTCAGGACAATGGTCTCATTCAGTGCCCTCATGTCAAAGTGAGAATATCAACAATTATGTCCATGTTTCTCTATGATCACTTATCGTGACGTCACAGCGGTCATGTTGGAGTACCAAAACAATGTTATTTTCTATTCTCGTGGAATAGAACTCTATTTTTATGCATAAACTGTGCAGAAAGTTTCTGTTGTTTGGTACATCAATATGGGTGCCTTTTCACGTGAGTAAAAGCGCTCTTAATTTTTCTCTAACCGAGGAAGACTGTGCTAGAGTAAACGAAAAAGTATTCCCAATCTCCCTCGTTTCCTCTTAGCCACAGGCATCCCGAAAGAAACACCCAGAGGAGGCTATATTTGACATATATTTTGTTACATTTTACAGTCGTAAACTGTGGAGATCCTGGAACACCAGTTAATGGAGTGCGCTTTGGCAATACCTTCACCTACATGAGTTCAGTCTTTTTGGAATGTAACCCAGGATACAAACTTGTTGGTGCTATCGAACGCAAGTGCCAGGTCAATGGACAATGGAGTGATACTCAGCCAACATGTGTGGGTATGTAGTTAAAGCCACAGGTATATAATGAATTTCGTATGTCTGTGACGTCACGCGGCACAGTCACGCTAAATTAATGCGACTTCTTTTGATCCAATTACAGCGCGCGAAATTACGGTTCGTTGAATGAAGTACTACGACACAGCCCTGTGTCACGTTCACTGGCACACACTTGCATGAGTTTGTTTTACAGTAACAACACGAAATTTGCTCTAAATAAACAAAGTAAAATTTTTGGGGATTGAAAAAAGCTGATTGATAGTAGGAAAAAATAAAAAAAGATTAATGAAAATTCAGAGAAAGTGAAATAAAAGAAAAGAAAAAAATCAAAACTTGAATGCAAAAAGAAACACAAAAATCTCAAGAATAAATTTTCGATTGGCAAAAAAGAAAGAAACATTCCTTTCCTTTCCTTCTCAACTCAGATCAAAGTTATGTCTTTAATTTCATTAAATATTTCTTCTTTCTTAAACTAAATCAATATAAATCAGCCACGAGTTGCGGTAGACTACGCGTCGGACCAACCGGAACGATTACCTCTCCAAACTATCCATTAGATTATGGCAACAACGAGTACTGCACATGGGAGATACGAGTCCCTGTAGACAAGAAAGTCCGCTTAAACTTCAAAGACTTCAAAACTGAACTAGGAAAAGATTTGCTAATGATTTACGACACCAACCAAAAAACGCCAACGATTTATTTTGACGGAACAACTAATATGCCTGGGCCATTCACTTCCTCGGGGAATAGTCTTCGGTTACGATTCATTTCCGATGGGCAGACGGCGATGAAGGGATTCAAGGTCGACTACACGCAGATTGGTAAGATGATATTTTATTGTAGAAAAATTAAGGAAGAGTTACTTTATTTAGTGATTATTACATTTGAATAAGATAAAGGTTATCTCAGCTGTTTTGGAGGGGGTAATTCCCTGTAAATCTATTGTATCTCTTGTCTGCCAGCCTGTCTACTTGCCTGATTTTGACTCTGCGTGCATCCTTCTATGCACTCCTACCGATCTCTGCCTATGCCTTCCTTTCTTTTTGCCACTTTCCGCCTGTCTACATATATACATAACTGTCTGCCTGAGTCTGCTCTGCTTGTTTGTCTGCCTGTCTGACTCTTCTCTTACATTCTTGCCGCTGTCCTCCTGTCTGCATGCCCGCCTGTTGGCCTGATTGCCTGACTCTGTCGTCCGCCTGACTGTCTGTCTCCTATGCTCTTCCACCCCCTTCACTTCGTCTATACCATTTTAAAGGCTCGATTACATGGAGCAGTTTTCTCTGCAACTTTTCTCGGAATAGAGCGTTTTCACTCACGTGAGAAGGCAGCCATAAACAACAGAAACTTTCTGCACAGTATTTGCATAAAAATAGAGTTCAATTCCCGGAGGACAGAAAATGTATTGTTTTTGTACCCCATAATGGCCGCTGTGTCGTCACGTGAAAAAGCTCTATAGCGTTGCGACAAATTTTGCAAGAGTGTTTACACGGTGCAACGCAAACGCAAACAATTGCTGCAACTTCTCTTGCATCATTTTTTGAAATTGCGCTGTAGGTTACACACTGCAGCTCCATGCAACTTGTGTCGCAACGCTGTTGCGGACAAGTTGCAGAGAAAAATATTGCTCCTTGTAATCGCGCTTTTAGTCATAGCATAATAATACCGATTTGACCGAGCATCTCCTTCAACTCCATTAATCTTCCGTTATCACTAACCTTCATTATCGGATGACTTTCTGATGGTTTTTTCTGATTACCATTTATTTCTTTTTTTCTGCTTTCCTTTCCTTGGTTTGGCTTCCGGTTCTCATTTTGTCAAAGCCGGCGTTTCTTATTTCATTCAGTTTCTTGATCAGTACTCCTTCAGCTTGCGCGTAAGATATTTCCTCTTTCTCTAAATTAAGTATATCTGTTCAAGCATGACCAACGATAAAAGGAATCAAAGTATCATATTATTATATCTGGTTTCTACGCATTACTATTTATTAACCAAGCTTTCGGGTCTTTAACCCATCATCAGGGAATGTACAGTGATAAGTGTTAAACGAAATCATTAAAGAGAAGTTTTGATAATAGGGATTCGAATGACCCTGTGGTCTGAAATTATCATCCGCAATCTTGACCCCAAAACTAAAGAATTCTTTTCTCAATAAATAAATACACTTTCGAATTCACAGACATGAACTGTGGAGGAACTCTACTAGATCCTAAAGGAGTCATCACTTCCCCAAAATACCCAAACCCCTACGACAACAACTTGGACTGTGTATGGCTGATTGCTAGACCCAATGACAAAATAGCGATGTCTCTACTAGAGTTCGATACAGAAGATCACCACGACTTCTTGGCAATTAGCTTTGGTAGAGAGGTGACTAAGAAACTTACCTACGAGTGGTCAGGTTTGGGGACATCGATAAAGCCGTTTGGATGCCTTAACTACATGTGGCTGCGATTCAAGACTAACTGGATTACGACGGGAAGAGTACGAAAGGGATTCAAGATTCAGTATAGGGGTGTCAACAAGAATCAAATAGCATAGAATAGAGAAGAATAGAATAGAATAGAGTGCTTGTTGTAACTAGATATGGGTCTCATTCATGTGTGATCCCGGTACATTATAATAAACGGAAATTGAAAATGATCCGAATAAAGTGTTTGTCGTAACTAGATTTGAGATGTAGCCAGGACGATATATGCATGTTAATAGCACACTGGAATGACGGAACTAAATTCCAAGGCGTTCATGGAGATTGCTTGCGGTTTTGACGGTGCGAAGTGTTTCCATCCGGTGTGTGCGATTCTTGTCTCATTGGTTATTGTTCGTTATGTATATGCTGCATTTACTGTAAAGTGGCGGCCACCTTCCTTGCCTTTACTTTCCTAATACTTTCATATCCTTTCCTTCCTTTTTTAACACTAATCTGCTGCCAACTCACTTTTTCTATTCCCGGCTTTGCCTGCCTATACTACCTTCCAGCGCCGCATCTTCACCCTCATCCTCTGGTCAGTCTGCTTTCACTAAGTTCTTCCTAATGTTTGATCAGCCTAACAGATCTACTGATTCCAACTGCCATTCTGCCTCCTTCAATCCTATCTTTTTATATCGTTTTAGTCTAATGCAATGCTTATAAGGACCGTGCTCCGCCACCATAATTATGTTATTCTTCACGACTACATCTTCTCTTTCACTTAATTCAGTACCACAAGTGTTATTCCTTCCTTTAGCTTTTTTGTTTCCTGTTTTCACTTCATTTGATTTCATGCTTGCCTTCTTCTTGTCTAAGAATTACCGTAACAAAGCCCTGCATTCTATTACAGTCTTGTCCGACTGCAGCGCTGGTTTTAGTTTCTTAGTCATCAGACAGATGTCAAGCGCTCGACATTTTCTTTTCTCAGCTCGGCATTTTTTTTCCTTTCCATTATTTCACAAGTCACGCTGCACACTACAGATTATTAGATTTTCACTTTCACCCGTTTCTCAGATTGTTAAACCTCTTTGAACTATCCGGGCGCAAGAGCATTTAAGAAATACCGTATTTTTCTTCCACCACCACCACCCCTTCCTTACTAAAGACTGGTTTCCATATAATCGACAACGATCGTAAACGATCGAGAACGATCGGAAAAAATTTATTTTCATCGTCCGCGATCATATGGAAACAAAGTTTTTCGATCGTACAATTAGAACCGGCTTCTAATTTTGCGATCCGTCTCGATTCGTTTCGCCTAGACCTGCGATCATATGGAAATACTTTTTTCGATCGTACGATCGAAATGTATACCATAATATCATTTTTCCCAAGACGAAATATTTTATCAGATATTTGCTTTTCTAAGTACTTATATAACAGTATATGTGTATTATATAAAGTGCTTTATCAGTTCTTCGAAATCGACTACCCAGGTTGAAAACTGTAGCTGCATTGCAGAAGACAATCTACAGAGTCCACGTGTTGCTTTACGATTGCGTTTTCCTCTTTTGGTGGTGCATCATAGTCTCCAATATAAATATCTTCTTACTACTGTGTCGTCATTGACAATCACCGAGGCATAGAAATATTCTTGAACGAGTATCGACATTGTTATCAAGCTAAGCTGATGAGCAAGTGATTCTGCTGATTTTGATCGGGCTTTTAAACTYTTCTCTCCATAAAAATATGTATTCATATTTCATATTTCAAATTCCTGCCTTGGTGATTGCAATTCGTACTTTGAACCCTGCTCTACATTCCATTTCATTAATCCCCTAAAATATTTCGCTCATCTTCATGACCACCCCTCCCCCCGTATTCTGATATCTAGACCACCCCTCCCCTCCCTAACAAAAAAGATGCTGGATGGGGGGTCATAACTACTTTATTGACGACTCTTAAAACTCCAGTGTATGCGGGCTTAGCCTCACTTCTGAGGTCAGAAATTTGAAAAACAAGCCACTCCTGGATTGTGGAAGTCACTCAAACATGTTCTAAATTTGGAAAACGTTACGGCCAAATTAACATCGATTTTATTATATCAATWTTATTTTATTTTTTCAGGTCTAGCCTTTGCTATTTAGCTAGTTTTCATAAAGTAGCCTTTGCTCACCTCAAGATCATAGACCCTTTTACTTTGGGCCTAATGTTTCCGGTTCTAAACATTTATAGGAATAACATTCGTCAGCCGTTTTATTTTTCGCAAAGAGGATAAAGACGTAACGGCCCTCTGATTCTGAGATCGAATTAGAATCAACAGTTTTTGATTTTCACGGAGGGCGGAAAACCGGAGGACCCGGCGAAAAACCTTTGTAGCACAGGAAACTCAAAACAACATATACAAATCTCGTGTCACATGCTAGACTGGATCTTCTCCCTATTAATCAGATCCTTTCCTAATGGGCAGATTCTAACCAGATTTTTTTCTGACGGTAAAGAAAGTAACAATACTAAATGAACGAAAAACTATCAGGTAGTCTGAAACGAGGAATTGAATACTATCGTAGAGGCGGGTGACTGGTGGGATAGGGGAGATTCGAGGGGTTTGGTCGTATCCTCTAAAGAGACACCCCTGATCTACTAACGTCTAAACAAAAGATACAAGCAAATTTTGAAATATTAAATATATCAAATATCTCCTCAAACTACTTGAAATGCAATTCCAGAAAATCAAAATTTCAAAATCTTAGAGGCACTGTCACCACCACTTCCCTCTACGCGACTATCCGTCAAATAGATCCGCCCCACCCTATGGTACCGAGTGTTGACATAGGGCCCTCCTTCCCCATATTTTCCCCGTAGGGGGGAGGGTTAATGGGGAGCGGCTGTACACAGGCTAAGTATTAGCTAGGCTTATGTGATATAGTAATGATAAAAGGGTAAATTATACACCGTGAAAAGATGAAAAAACGTACTGACGTTTCGGACGCTAGTCCTTCGTCGGAGTATAACCAACGAAGCGACGAAGGACTAGCGTCCGAAACATCAGTAAGTTTTTTCAACTTTTCACGGTGTAAAATTTACCCTTTTATCATTACTGTTTCATTAGAAACACCAACGCAGCTCACACTAGTTTTTAGCTAGTTATCTCTTCATGTGAGTTGGTGTGTTGGTGCAAGTCAAGCGGAAAGTCAGCGGTGTTTTGGAGAAAGATGTTATCCCAGTAATTTCTTGGCTGATGTGGTGAATTCCGAGCAGGGAATAGAGTGCTACAACAATAACTGCGTGCTGATTTCCCTTGTTTGTTTATTGACCTTGGCAGCTATTCTCACTAGGTATTCGTTGTAACGCTGGAGAGAGCCAAAATCACAGTTTGTGAGAGGATAAACGGTCTTTTCACAGTTAAGTAGTCACTAATGATCACGACTAAAACGAATTAATATTTATTTTTCATTTAACGGAAAATTATTCCAGAAAACAATTAAACATTATGTTTTTCTTCCCGCAAACCGCCACAGACATGACATTTCACTTCTCCTTTTGCAACTTTTATCGCCGAAGAAAAGTATTCTTTTGTGGTTTTTCTACCACTTTTAATTTCTTTCGATTTTTTTACTTTACTAAATTCTGAAGACGTTTTACTTGTCAACTGAAGTTTTACGTTTGCGTTAAAGGAAAAACCTTCTAAATAACATCCCTTTTACGAGGGAAAAATAAGAAAATTAGCCATTTCAAACTTCCATATCACTTGCAAAAACGTTATCTACTCCAGAAACGTTTTAAAAAGTATTAGCACTTACTAAAGGCTTTACGCGAAACGAGGCCAAAGACTGCTCCGTAAACTAAAGCTCAGTAAAAACTATATAATCAGTATACATTTGCTATTTTACGTGTTTGATTCCCGAGCTGTGAGTAGAGTTGTTTGTTCTCTCCTGTGCTTCAAGGGTTTTCTTCGGTTTTCCTCCCTCCGCAAAAATCAAATTTCAATTTCAATTCTATTCGTAGCCGTTATCCAAGTGGGTTGTAGACCCTGTTAGCCTTTTCGCCATCCATCCTGCAGTGATAAATCTCATTAGATTTTTGAACAAGATTATTAATTCAATCACGGAAAAGCCATGTAAACCTTTGCGTGCCTTCGTTATATGCTCGGCAGAATCTCATCTGATTAGAAATGCCGATGGCCAAGAAACTCCAAGAGCACCCGCCGGAGCCGCTCTGCAAAATATCCGCTCCGCATGTGATTTTTTGCTAGCTGGGAGAATCTGATACATTGTAAGTATTTGCTGGCAAAAAGACACATTTACTTGATACTGGCTGCCTAAATGAGTGTTTAGCCTTTTTCCTAGCTTGGAAGTTTATGCATTATGTAAATTTTCGC